GGCACCGCCGCGTGGCACCGCCGCCCCGCGCGCGGCCCGGCCGAGAGCGAGCCCCGGGTGCCCGCGGCTGTCACTCCTTAAAACTCCTTGCAGTTAAAGTGCTTCACAGCGGGGCAGAGAGGCAGTGCCGGCCTGCCCGAGACCCTCCCCGAGCCTCCTCCAGGCTGAACAGTCCCAGCTCGCCCGGCCTTTCCCGGCAGGAGCCGTGCTCCAGCCCCTTCATCATCTCAGTGGCCCTCCGCTGGACGCTCTCCAGTATGTCCATCTCTCTCTCGTACTGGGCAGCCCAGAACTGGACGCAGCACTCCAGGCGCGGCCTCACCGGTGCTGAGCAGTGGGGAAGGCTCACCTTCCTCCACCTGCTGGCAGCACTCCTCCTAATGCACCCCAGGACACCATTCGCCGCCTTTGCTGCAAAGGCACGTTGCTGGCTCACCTTCAGCTCCGTGTCCACCAGCACCCTCAGGGCATTTTCTGCCAAGCTGTTTTCCAGCTGGATGGCCCCCAGCGCGTACTGGTGCATGGGGTCATTCCTCCCCCGTGCAGGACTTTGCACTTCCCTGTGTTGAACTGCATGAGGGCCCTGCCAGACCATTTCTCCAGCCTGCCTCTGGACGACCCTCTGGTGTGTCAGCTGATCCTCCCAGTCTTGTATCAGTGGTGGGGGTGGGAAGGACACGCATCTACACAGGACACACACACCCCCCCAGCTAACTTAGGGCCAAAAGCTGAGCGATACCTAGCATCCCCAGTGGGACACATCATCTTCCTTGTTGTCTGGCCCGGAGGGGAGCTAGAGCCTGTGGCTGATCCTTGCACGCTCCTGGTATGTGCTGTAGCTCTTCCCAGCACCTCCCTGCGGCCTCAGCTCCTGTGGCTTTTGGTCCCGTGGCCTCAGGTGCCAGCACCACATCCTGTTGAGAGAGACCCAAGTTGCAGGAGGCAGATCTCCTTGTTAGCATTCCCATGCTAGATTTTGCCAGGCACTATAAGCTAGTCCAGCTGTGCCTTCCAGAGGTCACATACAGAAAGAGGCTGGTGGAGTATGCCATCATGCCCCTGGGCTCTACAGCTCAGTGCCTGCTGCCAACAGCAGCCGGGGCCTCATGAAGGCAATGCTTCTGTAGCTGCCAAGGGCCAGCAGAGAGATATCTGAGCATTTGATGCGAGAGGTGAACTCAACAGATGCCACTCATCTGGGGACAGCACATGGCTGGATGGCAGGAGGCCACGCAGCCTGGCGAGGGGCCGCAGCAAGCGGTGACAGCTCCTCATGCATCAGCTCCACCACGCAGCTTTGCTGCAGGTGCCCAGGGTGGGGGAAGCTCCGTCCTACCTCCATCTGTTGAAGGAGAAAATCCATCTCATGGAGCAACATGACTAGACAGAAAAGCTCATGATGTGACCCTGAGTTGCACAGGAATTTGAGAGGTTTCCCTACTGACCTCAGCAGTCACACTTGTGTTTATGCCTGTGAGTCAAACGAGACCTGGGTGAACAGGCACATGCCTTGGAAACCATGTCTTTCTGAGGCCGTCCAACCCATGCCACTTGAGGGAGGCATGACTGCATCAGCACCTTCCAGCATCCCTCCTTCAGCCCACCCTGGGCAGAGAGAGGAGGTCTCTCCGAGCCAGAATAGGAGATGTATTTAAGAATATGTCTTAAAAATAATAATAATATAACTTTAAAAGACTGGTTTTTAAAACCTGGAGCAGGCCAGGAAAGTTGCGCTGTGTCAGATGGGCTAGCTGGCTGGGATGAGCCCCAGGCTTCCTAGGCAGGTCTGTTCAACGTAGTAAGAGCTGATGAGAGCAGCTTAAAGCTGAGTTTAGGAGAACTTGCACCAAGCTGAGCTGCATAGGCACTGAGTACAAAGCTCAGGACAGATTACTGTAGTACAAGAAAAGTGGGACTTCATAAAAGTTCTGCCTTATAACCATATTATGCTGAAATTCATGGCTTCCTATTCCCATTCACCATGCAGTGCCGGACCTAGGGGCCTGGCAGTTTCCCATCACTGTCAGAGACTTTTTGGACCTGCCTGGGGTTTCCTGCACACCGCGGGTGCGTGTCCTGTGCCAGCTCTGGTACCTGCAGGGTGCAGGCAGCACAGCTCCCGTGGAAGCCTCGGAGACCCTGAAGCCCTGCTCTTCATCCATGGGAACCCCTGCCCCATGGTTACGCCATGCATGGCATGGCTGGGAAAATGGGTCTGGCTAGGAGCCCAGCTTTGAGCAGCATGAAAGATGACAAAAAAAGGCAGAGGGTAATGGAGAGGAGTGTCCACCCCCCTGACCCCCAGCTCATACCCACTGCCTTCTTCCCTGGTACAGGGATGCAGCTACACACATTCTGTCTCCCTGAGATGCCAGCTGTTTGTACCCATCCCCACTGCACACTGTAATTATACCTGGCCAAGCCCCTGTGCTCAAGACAAGGTTCCACCTTGCTCTGTTTCAAAATATAAATCCCCTGGAGCATGCACACCACAGCAGCACAATGTGCCCTCTCTGCTGCGTGGTGCTGTTGCAACGCTACAGGCTTGGGGAGGAGTGGCTGGAGAGCTGCCTGGTGGAAAAGGACCTGGGGGTGTTGGTTGACGGCCACCTGAACATGAGCCAGCAGTGTGCCCAGGTGGCCAAGAGGGCCAATGGCATCCTGGCTTGTATCAGGAATAGTGTGGCCAGCAGGACCAGGGAGGTGATAGTGCCCCTGTCCTCGGCACTGGTGAGGCCACACCTCGAATACTGTGTTCAGTTTTGGGCCCCTCACTACAAGAAGGACATTGAGGTGCTGGAGCATGTCTAAAAAAGGGCAACGAAGTTGGTAAAGGGTCTGGAGCACAAGTCTTATGAGGAGCAGCTGAGGGAGCTGGGGTTGTTTAGTCTGGAGAAGAGGAGGCTGAGGGGAGACCTTATTGCTCTCTACAACTACCTGAAAGGAGGTTGTAGTGAGGTGGGGTTGGTCTGTTCTCCCAAGTAACAAGCGATAGGATGAGAATGGTTTAGTGGTGGCCTTGGCAGTGATAGGTTAACGGTTGGACTTGATGATCTTAAGGGTCTTTTCCAACCTTAACGATTCTATGATTCTATGATTCTAAGACCATCCCTGGGTTTTGAGACCACTTAGCCAACACCAATGGTACGAACAGGCTGACCCCTGTTCTTACCTCTGCCATCGGAGTGCTTCTAAAGAATGTTTATCAATATGGTGATAGGTGCTTTATATATATAAATATATAGAACGCATCAGCACACTTTCAGCACACCCACACGCTGCCCTGGCCGCTCCATCAGTACCTAGACATGCAGGGATACATGAGCTGCCCCTCGGCTTCTGGGCCATCCAGAGCTAATCAGCAGGTCCCACGCTTGGTGGAGGCTGTGATGGGAAGGGATGCGCAGGGAATTCACTGCAGCAGCGGCATCCCCGGGCACCGCACACGTGTGCTCACATCACCCTTCGCACAGAGGCTGCACGAGCACCCATCTGCGCCCCTGCGCATCACACAAGCTCTCACTGAAATCCAGCACAGTCGCAAAAAGCTGCACCTCTAGAGATGAACATTCAGCTGAAAACACAAAATGAGTGATCTGCAGACAAAAGCTGTGATTTAACAAGCTGGGTCGGAAGGACAGAAATATCTCCATGCAGCCCTGGCTGTAGCACCTTGGGTTCAGATTTTCCCACCTCCCTGGATCCCCATCCTGGCTTCCCTGCCACCGGGCTGACCCAGCTGCGCTCAGAGCAGCCCCGCAAAGACAAGGGCCGGGGAAAAGCAGGGCCCATAGGGGAAGCAGGGGCTTGGGGGGAGCCAGAGTGTTGCTCACACCTCCATGAAGCAAGGAGGTGAAACCTTCTGTTTCTATCTCCCAGATGGAAAACCCCACTAGAATTTTCTGGGGAAACCTCCAACTTGGACAAAAGTGAGTCTCTGAGGACTGTTTGGCTTCAGTCCTCTTGGCTCTGGGGAAACCAGCCTGGCTCTCCTGCATAACTCCCAGCCCACCTTGGGCACCCACCTTGGGATGTCCCTCTCGGTAATACCCTGCTCTGCTCTCTCCTGAGCTGATCTGTGGACCTGAGAGGTCAGGGGACCTGGGCTGTGCAGGAAAATGTGGGCAGAGCTTTGCATGCCCTGGCCAGCCCCCACTGAAGCTGCTGGTGGTCAGCATTTGGCAATGCTGGCAAAGCAAGCATGGGTAAGGTCCAGGACGGACTGCCTGTCCTGCTCCAAGCAGCACTTTTCTGGTGTCTGGGACACTGTGGTTGGACCCACAGCTCACATACCGGTGCTCTGCTGAACACTGCAAAGGCTGACCTTTGTCCTGCAGCAATTGTGTCACTGCAGAGCACCTCAGAGAGGAAGACGTGGGCACAGTCAAGACAAAAAGGTGGGGAGAAAATGGGGATTAGCAGAGGCTGATAAAGACATGACCTCTTCCTGGCAGAGGTCCGGGTCACAAGGAATGTTGGCAGGTCCCATTGCAGCTAATCACGAAGCTCACCTTGTCAGGCAGTGAGCAACAAGCATCAGCCTGATCTGCAGCATTCAGGGCAGGTGATTGAACAGGTAGGGTGGATGTGCCAGGGCAGAACTCTCCAGAAGACAGCCACCATGTGCCAGCAGTACCTGCTGGTGAGGTGCTTCTGGCAGGACATCCGGAGATGGAACCAGCCCCAGCCCCACCAAACCTGTCCTAACACGCTCCCTGTTTGCCCTGGGGTAACAACAGCAGCTCGCTCCACCATGGTCAGTGCCCATGACTCACTGAGGATCCTGCGGGCTCATGGGGGACCCAAGGGATGTTTGGGAAGACACATCCATCCCAACAGCTTCTAAGCTCACCATCATGACTGTGTGCTAACACTTCTCTATCTTCACCAACACCACTGCTCTACACCCCAACAGCATTGTCCCTGAGTTTGGGAAAAGAGAGGAGAGCAGAGGCTGGACCCAGCTCTCAGCCTCCATGGCTGGAGAATGACTGTGAACACTGAGGAGAGATTTCCTGCAGGAGACATCCCACCCTCATGGCCCCTTCTCATGAAACACCTTGCCTGGGACCCTGGCAAGAGCCACTGAACTTGCTGAGGGCTTTGTTGATGAAGGAAGTGCCAAAGGCCGTCCCACGTGGGCAGGAGGAAGCCGGTGGTGCCCATGGGTGGGAGGAAGCCGCTGGTGCCCATGGGACTGAGGCAGCTCTCTGGCATCTGGTGAGAGCTGTCTGCCAGGCTGGCACGCTGCTGAGTGGTTCACCAGCCCAAGGGTTGGATTTTGGCAAGGCAAAAGTTCAGTCCCGGTGGGAGACAAACTAGGTGCTGCTCATGTGACTGGCTGGGTCCCCCCACAGCCAGGGGGACCTCTGTTGACTTCTGGTCCCACTGCAAATGCCGGAGGGGTCCCAAAAGGCCTGCAATGTGACAAGGCAGCTGCCAATGCACCTACGCCGTGCAGAGCAGGGAGCTCCATCATGGATGTCCCAATTGCCAAGCACCCTAGTGTCTCCACTACTCTGG